TCCAAATAATGAATAATGGTTCTATGGAACGAAAAGGTAAAATTTGCTTTTAAACAACTAAATTATAGGGCGAAGGAGCAAATGACTTTCGACCATGATGCTCTCGGCCCTCCATAAGGACTTATCTGTCGGCAAAAGCTGGGACTGACAGTTCAACCATGAGGGTCACATGGCTCTGACTTTAGCTCAGTAATAGGACCTTTTCTAGCTTGTTAGAGGTTACCTTTATTGCACAAAAGGGGCTTGCCATGTTGGGTATAGGACTGCCCCTGTTCTTATGTGTATAGCCACGAAGGATTTGTGCTATAGGAAAGGGGGGGGTTTCCTACATCTGCCTGCCGAGGAAACCTAGCGGCCCTAACTTGTTAGAAAAAACTATGAAATGGCTTCATAGTGTACCCCGCCCGCTCACCTTGGCAGTGTTATGGGAGTAATTAACCCGGGCATGTGGGAATCACGACTCACGGTGAATGTGCGCAACCTCTGCAGAGGGTTACAAACTATTATAACAGCCGTACTCACGGTCACGAGCGGCCTGGAAAACTCACAGAATAACTGGTTATTTATTGTTGCTCATTTATGATGTTCTATGATGATAATATGATACATTTGATTCTGATATCTGATCACGTGGGTTTAATTGGGGCTTAAGCATAACTTGATAATAGTTAATGATAAAATCTTGACTTACTAAAAGTGCTAACCGCAGTAAACCAGAGTCATCCTTTTTGAGCTTTCATAACCCCATGTTATCTTGTTAAGTACGGGAAGTATTTACGCTTGTTTACTTTCTATATTTGGATAAAAATCCCGGATGGGTAACATATGTCAATGAGTATGAGAAGTTTCCAGAGGACTTTTAGGCTTGTGGTCAATCAGTTGACCATCCCTGTGTTGGAGCTTCCACGAGAGAGCTACTTTCTTTTATTTTCCGCTGTGTCGTGTAAGACTATGTTATGGTATTAATCGTGATGTAAGATACACCGTCATGATACTTTTGTAACTTGTCAACTTATGTGTGTGACTGATCTCTGGGCACACATGAGTTTAGTGCATTCAATTTTATTCTTAAAATTGGGTGTGACAAACACAAGTTATGTACATAAGTTATTCAATACGACTTATGTACTGTACATAAGTTATCCTATACAACTTATACACATAAGTTACACAATATGACTAATACATAAAGCTGTCACAAATATCATATAAAAATGAATGAATGATGCTAGAATGGACAATCAAGCTGAGAAAATCACACAAGAAAATCAGTGGACCAATTCAATTGCCATTGAGGAGGTCTAGATCCCCACAGGTCCATGGCATCCACATTACTTGTCAGTCATCTTTAGGAAAAAAACATTAGTTATGGCTTCTATTGATGCTAAAAGTTATTGCAATATAATTGACCGAAACTAATTCAATCTTGTTAGAATCTAATATCTTGGAGTGCAAGGAGGAATTCACTCAAACAATTAAAAAAGGCAAGTTATGCATATCGATATTATATAAGAAATATTTGATGAGCAAATAAATATAACTCATAAAATATGGGTTGTGCATATAACATATCATCTAAAAACTTGTACACACAAGTTACTCATAGAACTTATATACATAACTTATACTACAAAAGAAACTGTTACAAAAATTGTGCTAAATAGAACAAAAATATGTAAAATTCAGACAAGCTTATATAGATAATTTGTAGAAAATAGAATTCATGTGACAAACTTATATACATATAATTAAAAAAATCAAATATTCATTGCCCATTTCACTTATATAAGTAAGCTATATAAAAGACAAGCTCTATATACAGTATCAAGGACATTTTTCATTAAATTACAAAACCTTCTAAACAAGCAGCAACATCAGTGTGAATAATCTAGACCAAATAGAGCAATTTATCTAAAGAGGGAAAGCTTATGCAAGCAGAGTTTAAGAAAACCAACAATGATAGCAACACTCACATTCAGAGGTCCTGCAAACACCCTAGTGAAAAGTGTCAAAGTGCATTACCTTATTAGACATATCCCAGTTGTGCAATTTGCCTGAAGCCCTAAACTCCAACATTGATCGCCGGTCATATCAAGCTATTCAAACAGAACATATCATGTTAGGTGCATTTAAGAACTGACAAGGTCAGGGATTAGGAATCAGGGAAAATGGAATAGAAGCACACATTTAAGATTTAAGAGATGACATGAATCCTTTTCTATTGCTCAACCCAAGTCTTTTGGTGTTTCTTAATCTCGGGACGAGATTTTTGTAAGGGAGGGAGGAGCTGTAACACCCTAGGTGTTAAGCACTTTGTTAAACCTTGATCATGTTTCATCATCATGCATTGGATGCATCAATCATAGTGCATATGTGGCATCTGTGCATGGCTTATGTATGTTTTGGAGTGATAATAAAAAATCTCAATTAAGGTGCTTTGTGACCTTGTATTTTGGAATTTACTTAAATACTTGAAAATGTGCCAATATAATCTTTGAAGTGCAAAGTGTGTAATTTACACTAGTATCAAGGTTGGTCTATATTTTCAAGTCAAACCTGTTTAAACTTGAGCTTCAAAACTGAATTTGGCACTGAATTTTTACACAGCCAATTTTTGGCAAAGTCCTTGAATAACAGTGTTAAAGTTCAATGTTTAGGCCTTAATTAAATGATTTTCATAAATAAATTTTGTGCAACTTTGGTGCTATTTCAAAGTGTGAACTTTGAACTTTGGAGTTTTACCTTTGTTTATGCTTGTAGCACAATAATTAACCTTTAATTAATTAACTAAAGTGGTTAACCAAAACTGTTCACCATGACCGGAGCAAGCACAACATGGACGTCATATTTCACTACTCCCTGGGCGGGAAGCGTGATCGTGCTTGTCATGCGCACGCACACACGGAGCACGGGAACCGTAGTACATTCCAGACAGGGCTGTGGGATGGCGTTGTTCGAACAAGAACGTGTCACGGTGTTAATCGCTTCAGCGTTTTGTATATAGTTGTGATCAGTCAAAGAGAAAACGCTGATAAAAAAGAAAACGTTCCTTGGTCACCACCTCCCCCGGACTGGATAAAATTAAATGTGGATGCAGGTTTCGATCCTCACTTTGGTCTTGTCGGGCTTGGTTTCATTGCAAGGAACCACGTGGGTGAGGTTTTGTTCTCTGGATGGTCATGCAATCAATGATGCTAGTCGGCTGAAGAAGCAGAATGTCTTGCTGCATGGGTGGGTCTAAAACATACCCTCGCCTCCTGAAAAGGGCGCCTCTGGCTAGAATCAGACTGTTTTGCGATGGTATGCTATTTAAAGGATCCAAACAAAAATCGCTATGTAATTTGACACATCATCGAAGAAGCAAAAGAAATTCTTCAGTGCTTCGTATCCAAATGCCACAGGAGTGCAAATTGCAGGCAGCTCATGAGTTGTGTCAGGTTGGTCGCAGGAGAGAGCTTTATGATGTTTTCAATGCTAATGGCATCTCGACCTGTGTGTCGGCGGCTTTAGCTCTAGTTTGTAATCCACGTTGTCTTAATGTAATTAAGCTCTCGCCTCTCTAAAAAAACTGCTACTTTGTGGCATCATATTTTTGGTGTCCACTATGTTTGCGTGTGTCCGCCTACCTCGCCGTCGTTTATCTCATCGGCGGTCTTCTAACATACGCGAATGTTGGCAGTGAGGTGCACGAGACAAGGTGCAGCGCGTTCTGCAAAGTGTTGTTGCTCTGCCTCAGCCCTCCGACGCATAGAAATACTTCATCTATTCCAAATTATAAGATGTTTTAGTTTTTCTAGATACGATGTATTTGCTACGTATCACGATATAGTGCATATCTAAGTTCATAGAAAAACTATATATCTAGAAAATCAAAATATTTTATAATTTAAAATAGAGAGAGAATAGTATTAATGTTACTAGAAAATATTTTTCCCCTCACGTTCGCTCTCTTTTATAAGGTTGACTTCACAACATCACTACACATTACACAACATGGATATTACAAACAGTAGCTTACGACGGGATTTGGGAAGTCGTCTGCTAACCTCTCGGTTCTACACTCCTACTGTACAAAAACTTCTCGTGAGATGCTGAAATGCAGTCTTGCGCACGAAGCATCTCATAAGGGTCCGTTCGCTTAGCTTCGCTGAAAAAAAAGCTGAACTGTTCCGGCTGATTTGCTGTGAGAGAAAAATACTGTTCTAGCTGAAAAGACAAGTCGAAAAGTACGGATTATAACACAAGCGAACAGGGCCGAAGGCGATGATTAGCACGCTGCAGTCATACAGAACTGGCTCCTTTGCGCAGCGCCACTGCTGCCAGCTCCGAGCCTTGTTCGCGTCAGAGGAGGCCGTATGGCCAGGACCCAAGGCTATCCTTTGGTCCGAAGATGTCCTGCGGATGACAGCACAAACTCATGAGTGTTTTGTCTCGACAACACAAGCTCGTGACATTTTACAGTAAGCGAACAAGCTCGAGGCACAAGATAGGCTTACATCTAAACTGATACCACCACCTGAAGGTGTTCCAGTGAATGGAAGATCCAGGTCAGGCAAACCATCAAACAGCTCCATGCTAGGACCATCGACGGGTAGAGATGCGTCAAGTCCTGCGTCCAGGGCATCCGCAGGCTGCATGGGTTCATCCGAGGTAGGAATAGCTGGTGGTAATTCAGCAACGCATGCAGAGCATTCCGCTGCTTCAACCTTCACCTTGGATGTGCTACATTCTTCTTCCCCCTATCAGAAATTCAGAAAAGCAAAAATGAAAGAAAGTTCCCCAGTTAAGCAAAATATTTACAGTAATATGAAGCGAGCAATTTTGATCATCATTTGTCAATCTATATGAACAGAGTCGTTTTGAAACATACATAAAGCCAAAACAGAGGACAGCTTTAGCATTCCTGTAATCTACCAAAATATGCCCTATATTGATGGATGGAAGGAATACTTACCAGCATGTTGAGAAATCAAACTATAAAATATGATCACTGCATTTACCTGATCCACCTGAATGTGGATATGCTGCTCGGTGTTACATGGGCTGTTGTTCAGGCGATGGGGCTGGGGAGGATCTGTCATTGGGGTCCTCTGGAGTTCATGCGAGGTAGGCTCAGCTGGTGATAATTCAGCAAAGCACGCAGAGCATTCAGCTGCTTCAACCTTCATCTTAGATGTGCCACACTCTTCTTCCCCCTGTCACAAATTCAGAAAAGCAAAATGAAAGATTGTTCGCTAGTTAAGCAAAAAATATTTGCAGTAATATAAACCGAGCTATTTTGATCGTCAATCTATATGAACAGAGCCGTTTTTTGAACACAAGACAGTTTTTGCATTCCTGTACTCTGCCAAAATATGCCCTATACTGATGAATGGAGGGAGGGAATACTTAGCAGCAAATTGAGAGATCACAAAGTATAAAATATGATCACTGGATTTACCTGATCCTCCTGAATGGGGGTATACTGCTCAGTGTTGCATGGGCTGTTGTTCAGCCGACGGGGCTGGGGAGGATTTGTCATTGGGGTCCTAGGATTGATTTTTGCAACAGATGCATCAGATTCAACTGCAACATCTGTTTTAGACTTGTCATTTTTCTTCAATGGCGATTGGTAGAATACTTTACAGACTACAAATTCCCCATTAGTTTCATCTTCGTTTACACCAAGATGGTACTGATGCATCACCCAATTCTTTCTTTCTGGCTTGCCACCAACTTTCTTTGGAGCTTTATAAAGAACTAAGATCTTCTTCCAGCCTTTTCTCACACCATTCTCGTCCAATACGGGTTTGGATGATCCGGTCTTATGCCACCTGCTGTTCCCATTAGCAACACCGTCACAAATGTCGCCGGTGGCAATAATCCTTCGACGCTTGCGCTTACCGGTGTCATATGCGTTTAATACTCTATTAAAGAAATGGAGGCAGCTACCATCCATCTTCATACCTAACAGAAAAACAGAAATGTATGAGCTAATCAACTACCTTAAGGCGACTACTACATGACATGAGATAACTTATTCGTTCCAAAGTCATTGATGAATTCAAAAGTAAGAATCATGTACCAGGCAGATTTTTGGGATGTGTATAGCAAATTCCCTCCTCCTCTTTTATAGTAGGTATAAATTCATCAATAAGCGTATGGGGCACTGAATTTGGCTGGCTGGATTTTCCTTGCAGATGCTGCAGAAGTTCCAGATCCGTGGGATCAAATTTGACACCAGCAGGAAGTGCTGGCCACACCAAAGAAACCTGCAAAGCATGGTATGAGGTTCCAGAAAAAAAAAACAAAGACGTCCAGAATGTGAAACATGTCAGTCAATGTTAATTGAAATCTAGCCTTTTACGGCAATTAAATAGGGTCCATGACAGTCATATGGCTAAGAAAGTGCAGGCATGACAATGAAGCAATGGGCAATCAATGAGTCAATTCTATTAAAAAGAATGGTGAGCTTTAGTTTCGATGAGGGCTGTGGCCATTAGACTTCGAACAGAACACCTTACTACAAGTTATAGCTTCATTGTTTCATATAAGGCTCCTTTCGCATCTCCGCCAATTCAAGACAGAAAAGAATACATTGTCACCTCATCAATGCATATTAATCATGACAACATGATGAAACTGTGACATCCACGTCATTTTACTGTACAACAAATCTACAAACAACTCATTAAGTTTAGAGAAAATGACCTACAAAGTTTTCCTACTTGTGCTGGATCAGAGTGCTTGATGGAAATGATGTCTAGAATAACATTTTCAAAATTCAATGAGGGCCAATCAAATGACAGAGCAAAAAATACATAAAGCGGTCATAAACTTATAACTAAGTAGTTAACTGAACTTACATTACTAATATCAATGTCGCAGTTGCAGTTGGTGCATTTGATATGTGGTTTTGCAAAAAGTTCACCAAATCGGAGGGTGAACGACTGAGTTGCACTTCTTATTTTCTCAGCAAAACCCAACACATTCATAATCCATGAACTGAAAAAGGTACAGCATTCATTTCTGTTAGGATTTAGGGTAGCATCTTTCTCAAACAGAAGATAAACTCAAGCAAGAACTTTTCAAGAAAAATAATTAAGTGCAAATGACGATGTGTAGCAGAAACATGATCAAAAGAGCATTTGGCCAAGAGACCCCATTGACATGCAATTTTGGAGCCGCTAACTTTCCCCAAGCATTGCCACACTGTGTCCCATTATGATCCATTGTTGCTCCTTCCAACATTTAAATTTGTACTTTGCCAAGAGAGCTATGCCACAGCAATCATACCAGGAGCTAAACAGAACAGAGCACTCTGTCTGACATTTGACCTTGCACGACACTGTCCTACAGCAGCGACTGTCATTTCTGCACCACCTCCTGCTTGGAGCGATATACAATCAACACGGTGGAATCTCAAATCTCTTCCTTTTTTGCGACCACATCAGAATCATCCAAGCGCAGTGTCAGATAAGGTCAGCCGCGACCAGGCAAGAAAAAAAACCCTCCTTATGCTTCCTTCCAGCGGAAGATTCCTCTTCAGCCTCAACAGACTGCAAAAACTCCCCCTAATTCCTGTTGCACCTCAACAGATTGCAAAAACGATGCACCGGAGTGTGTGAAGTAGTAGTACTTGGCATGACTCAGTAGTCAGTACTTTGTACTCCGTATTTCCGCCTGCAGCAAACGCAATCTCCAAGAGTTGCATTGTACTAGAACACACAGATGCCAAATCCCCTCTCTTCCTCACAACGATCACAGATCAGCTGGCGTCGGGTCAGCTGCGATCGACAATAGACCGCACAGGATCCATCTCCAGACTCCAGCCTGTAGCAAACAGAGCCTTCCTCTGCTTCCTCACAACAGATGCTTCCTCTTGCACCTCCGCGCCCGCAGGCTGCAAAATGTCTTGCCTTTTGGCCGGGAAACCGCAGCCGGACGCGGCAGCTCGCCGTCCGCACGGGCTCGGAGCTCGTCTCCGGCCGATCTAAAGCACATTCCGTCGTGTCCCAGAGATCATCCTCTCGTCCCGTCGCAGGCAAGCCCACGAGCATGAGAGCGGACTCATCAAAAACCACAGCCGCTCGGCTCACGAAACCAGCCCGACGCCACCGGATCGCCGCCTCGTAGATCGATCGGAACGAGAAACCAAGAGGGCCGGCCGCTCCAAATCTGCACCATCCCCAACCCCCAACCGCGTGCACACGAGCGAACCCGACGGAACCGACGGCCCGACGGAGCGCAAAGCTAGTACTAGTAAGCAAGAAGAAAAAAACACCAAAAAAACTGCAGACTTACGTCTCCATGGCCGGGAGGCCCGGGAGCGACCCGGCGGGGCGGCGGAGCGGGAGCCGAGAGCCTGCTGCTGCTGCTGCTGCGCGTGGAGCGCCGCGCACCCGAGGAAGAGGGGAGGGAGAGGGGGAGAGGAGCTTTGTGAAGCCGCGTTTGTGAAGCCGCGTTTGTGAGCTGCAAGGGATGGCTTTTAAAGGGTCGGTCTACCGCAAGGGAACCCCTCTCACTGGCTCACTGCCCAAACACAATGGTCGGGTGTCCCAAGGGCTGCGCTGCCGGTTGTGCCTACCGCCACAAGCAACCCCCTCTCACTGGCTCACTCCTGTGTCCCAAACACACATACAACAAGGGACCCCACCACCCCCCACAACACACACCCTCACACTGGCCACCCCCTGTGTCCCAAACACACATACACCCCCCCACCCCCCACACACACCCATCTCTCCTCTCTCCCTCTCTTCTTTTTTTTCCCCCTTTTTTCGTGTCCGGATCTCGGCACGCTTGGCCGGCTCGCCAAGGCTGCAATAAAATTCTATGTGGCGGCGCCATAACTTGCATGCCATGCAACACCGTCCGCACGCATAACATGTGTCCTCTGGGCCCCACCACGTGCATGCCGATACTCTAGCCGGTTCCGTGGCTTTTCCTCCGAAACTGCCCGCCCGCATGATGCGCGAGTCACTGTTCCGTCCGGCTGCTGGGCTATGCATCGAGATTAGCACGAGATACATGGATGGCTCGTAGACGGTGATGTAGGGGGGTTGGTCTGCGACTGAGTGCATAGAATTTTTTTCGCCCAAGGCCGGTTGGGACTCGGAAGTTTACTCCCTCTCATCGCCTGAAGGGCTTTGTCAGGAAGACCATCGGTGCTACTGCTTGGCAATGGTGTCCCGGTTTCATGCATGCACGGACGGGTCGGAGCCAACACGGCGGAACGGGTGCAGATGGATGGTTCCCAATGCATGCTGGGGGCTAGATCGGAGCCAAGCCGAACAGGATCGCCCTGTGGGTGGTTGGACCATCCCACCGATGCTCCGGTGGGACCTTGCTCCTTGTTGTTTCTGGATTCTGGACTGGCTCCTGCCCGGCCCGGGTGCCGCCGTGCCGCCACATCACTAGCCGAGGCCCAGCATTCAAAGCGGCCCCACCCCATCTTTTCTTGCCACGCAAGGCAAATATGCGCACCGTGCGATGACCCCGACGACTCCCACAAAATGGAAACAATAGCAGGATGGTAGGACACAGTGAGGCAACATGGAAGACGGTGCCACATAGCCGCAGAAAAAGGACCAAGAACAGGGTGCCTTCTCCCTCAATGCCTTGTTTGGATGTAATCGATTCATATCAATCCACATGTGTTGGGGTGGATTAGAGTGAAACTTGAACTAAATTCTACCTCAGTCCACCTCAACACATGTGGATTGAGGTGAATCCGACAATATCCAAACAAGGCACAAGGGATTTCTTAGTCCCACAAGCAAATCTTGCGTTTTGTTCCAAATACCTAAGAAACATCTCATACTTCTAGGGATTTGAAAGGGGGCAAGGCATCCTGTTCGGTTTGGATAACTCAGCCCACGAGATAATATTTCCTTATAAAACCCAATCAATATAGGCAAATAATAATACAAGTCTTGCTAATTTAGTAAAGAATTATTTATACCGAAATTGGCTAATGCATGATTGAGGATCCGTGTGTCATGTGCGGAACCTGGCCAACCGGCTACAGCAAAAGTAAACCTCATCTCAAAATCACAAATAGCAAGTATGTTCTGAGATGTATATCCATGTCGACATGTGTCATTAACCACTTCCTCTATTGGCACTGCAACTCAAACATTTGAACCATCTATAAGCTGCCCTTGAAATCAACTGTTTGCTTTGCCTCATTCCATCCAAGACTAGTGGCACAATTCTTGAAGTCCATGAAGGATGCATATTCTTTTTTTATATTGTCCAACTTGTTCTTCAATTGTTTTTTTGTTCGCTTCTGGCCAGACTTTTCTTTAAACTTTGATATAGGATTTTTTTTCCATCCACTCGAAGTGTAAATTCCCATTGGCCTATTCCCAACTTATATCTCCCCTTTGCAGACATCAATCAAATGCCTCACATAGGAATCACTCCAATCTGCCTTATCAGTCATTCTTGAAACCAACAAAAAAATTACTTAGGCAATCTAGTTACCATAACAATGTATCATCAATTTCATCATGCACACATCATACTCCCAGTACAAAACATGCAAGCAACAATATGTCCAAGATCACTTTTTTGACTAATCAAGCAAGCTACGATTTTGGACAGATTAAAGAGGAAAAATAGGAGAGTTCTAGGTACCTAGCTTGTGGAGCCGCCCGTCAAGGGTGCAGATCAGGGAAGAGAATAGGGAAGTCACACCTATGCTGCTTGCGGTGCCTGGAGAGGAGACAAGAGGGAGCTACAGGCTAAGGGGCTCCTGCCACGGCCAGGAAAGGGAGGAGGGGAGCCGCACGTGGCTCCGTGGCTTTGGCAATTGAGTGACAACCTAGGTGGACTTGTGTTTATGTGAGATACACATATGATTACCACAGTCGGACGCGATAGGGCTCGAAGAGATCCATGGCGGAGCTCCGGCTACATTGAGTCACGAGAGATCTGACTTGGGGGGGGAGAGCTTTGGAATGGACCACGTGGCGGCGGCAGCAAGACTTTGGCGCCCGATGAAACCTAGAAAAAGCAAGTGAAGTCAAGATCGGAACCAATATGCAATATGGTTGGGGTGAGGATCATGAGGTTGGAGGCGCCATGACTTTCTTTCCGTCAGTGGCCGGATCGGGAAAGACGAACCAATATTCTCCACTTACGAGTGGCAGGCGGGTAAATTTTACAATGTTTCTCCCCCCAGCCGCTGAAAGCAAGTCCGGACCGGCTGCGAAGTTTCTACTATGATGGAATCTACTTTTGGACAATGCAGTTGGGCCAGGATGTGCCCTTTGGTTGGCTTTTGGAAAGCAAAAGCAGCCCCCAAAAGCCCAACCAAAGAGACCCAAAGAGCAAGTATAATAGCAGGATGTAAGTGGGTTGAATGCTGAGATGGAGGAAAAATAAGAGGAGAGAGAAGGTAAGCGGGCTATAAGGTCACAGCCAGCTTATGCGCAAAAACCAAGAAACTTTGTGACAGAAGAAAGTGGGTTGTACATTAATAGTGTAGAGCTAACTATTATGTGGGTAGGCTATTAGATGGGCTGCGAAGATCCATACAACCAGCAACAGGCTGTATTATTAGCCTTGCTCTAATCCGCCCATGAGGTCAAATGTTAGAGGTGCATTAATATAGTTTCGTACTTAGGATTTTAGGGCACTCTAAATGGGTATTAATGGTAGTTTCTATCTCTATTAAATGATTTACCAGCTAAGCAAAACGCTAACATGGCAGCCTTATCAGCTAAGCAAAATGCTAACATGGCAGCCTAGTTACTGAGGAAAGAGAAGATAAGAAAAATAGAGGAAACGGTTTCTTAGGAGGAAAACCACGTCTACTCAACCCGAGGCAGGAAGAAATGATGATTTCAGCATTTGGAGGAAACCGCCGGTTTCTATCTTAGTGGGGCTCGGGATGGGCTCGCTGCAAATGCCACCGCTTGCCGCCACCACAAGAATCGCTCTCACCTTCTGTGTGCGCTCGCCTACGCCACCATGCTTGCGAGTCACTCTCGCTCATGCGCCAATTGTGCTAGTTCACTGGCCGCAATCATCCACGCCACCATGTCCAGACTCAGCCCTTCGCAGTGCTCACCTACATGCGCCTCACGCATGGGTTGTGGGTTGTGCACATTGCCCACCGCCAAACCAGCCTCACTTGCACACTAACACCAGATAGATACGACCCCACCACATAAGCCAGAGCCCACCGGAACCCGCTCCTCTATCCCCACCGGATTTTGGGTATGACCATTTTCTAGATTTAAGGAGGTTGCCACCCCCTACACACACACACACCCCCCCACCCATCTAACCCTTTTTCCACTAGATATGAGTCCACCACATAAGCCTGCCCGGCACAACCCGCTCCACTATCCCATCGAATTTTGCGTACGACCGTTTTTTTTTCATTTTTCACTAGATTTAAGGAGGTTAAACCCCCCCAGCCCCCACACACAATACCCACCCATCCACCCCATTTTTTTCACTAGATATGACCCCCACCACATAAGCCTAGCCGCCGCAGCTCGCTCCACTATCCCAACAAATTTGTGGGTAACACCGTTTTCTTCCTTTTTCACTGGATTTAAGGAGGTTACCACCCACCCATCCCCTTTTTCACTAGATATGACCCGTACCACATAAGTGTGTCTACCGCAACCCCATCCGCTACCCCCAACCAAATTTTGTGTATGACCGATTTTCCTTTTTCACTCGATTTAATGAGGTTATCCCATCCACACCCGACCCCCGCCACACCTTTTTTCTTCCCAAGCATGATGATGTTCTTTGATTAAGTAACCGAAATGGAAACATTGGAAAATAACTTTTTTGGAAAAGTTATAATGAAACCAACCCCACGCACAGAATCGCCGCCTCGTCGATCGATCAGCCCGAGAAACCAAGAGGGTCGGAACCTCCAAATCCGTAGACCACCCGCGACCCCAACCCATGTGTACACGAGCGAATCCGACAAACCGATGGCCTGACTGACCACAAAGCTATTAATAAGCAAGAAGAAAAATCACCCAAAAAAGGTGACTTACGTATCCATGGCCGGGAGTGCCCGCGCGGGGCAGCAGAGTGGGAGCCGGTGCTGCTGCTGCTGCTGCTGCGCGTGCAGCACCATGCACCCCAGGAGGAGTAGGAGATGGGAAGAGAGAACTTGTGAAGCCGCGAGGCATGGGAGCATCGGGTGACCACGGGCTTGGGGCTGTTATAGTGGCAGGTCATGAGGAATGGGCTGTGCGGAGTGGAGACTAGTGAGAGGGACATGCATTTTTAGTTTCATAGTAAGGATTTTAGGGCACCCCAATGCGAATTTATGGTAATTTCTGTCTCTATTAAATGACCTACCAGCTAAGCAAAATGATGACATGATAGTTTAGTTACTGATGAAAGAGAAGAAAAATAGAGGAAACCGTTTCTTAGGAGCAAAACCACATCTACTTAAATAGAGGTAGGAAGAAACGATGATTTTAGTGTTGGGCGGAAACCACTGGTTTCTATCTAGGCGGGGTCCGTGATTGGCTCACTGCAGATGCCACCACATCACTGCCACCGCAAGAACTGCCCTCACCTTCTATGTGTGCTCTCCTGCGCTCGCGTGTTGGCCTCGCTCGTGCGCCGGTCATGCTCATTTGCTGGCCATGGTCATCCACGCCGCCGCACTCGCCCACATGTGCTCGCCCGTGTTGCCGCGCTCGCTACTGCCCGTGTGCGTTCGTGCACCGGATGCACTCGCTTGTGCCTATCCGCAGCCCTCACGGGTCTCGTGGTAGAGAGGACGAGAGGAGAGCGAGCAACGGAGGGAGAAAGGGACAATAAGTGAGAGAGAGAGAGACAGAAATTCAACATTTATTATGTGAAGACACCTGCATTGAAAGAGATAGTTTCTATAAATAGTTTTTGGCTAGCCTAGTATCGTGAAAACCACGTGTAATTTCAAGCATTGGGACAACCCTTAGACAAGGGAGGGTGACATGACTACATTTAACACTGCAAATGTAACAAACACATATATAAGTAAAGAATTTATGGGAACAACACATAAACTCACAAAGGTCTTACAAAGATGTTAAATTGAACAGTTAATTCCCAAATTCACTTAAAGTGGCTTCCAGGCCAACAAAAATACTTACATAGTGATAATACCTTAGACAATAATGTCGGTGTTGTCCATAGCTCATGCAGACCACCCTTTAACAATGCATCTGCCTGGAAACCATGTGAATGTTATTGGCTTCTAGGTATGACTGTTTCCCCATTTTTCCACTGGTTACGACCACAACACATGTATATACGCCTGCCCGCCGCAACAAGCTCCACTATCCCCACCTAATTTTGGGTACAACTGTTTTTTTTTTTCACTAGATAAAGAGGTCCCCCCACACACCCCACCCATCCACCCCCCCCACACACGCACCATCCAAACCATGTGAATACGGTCACTAGATTTACCTGGTCCTCTTGAATGGGAGTATATTGCTCGGTGTTGCATGGGTTGTCGTGCAGCCGATGGGGCTAGGGAGGATCTATCATTGGGGTCCTAGGATTGGTTTTTGCAACAGATGCATCAGACTCAACTACAGCATCTGTTTTAAGACTTGCCATTTTTCTTCGATGGTGATTGGTAGAATACTTTACAGACTAAAAATTCCCCATTGGTTTCATCTTCTTTTACACCAAGATGGTACTGATGCATCGCCCAATTCTCTCTTTCTGGCTTGCCACCAACTTTCTTGGGAGCTTTATAAAGAACTAAGATCTTCTTCCATCCGTTTCTCACACCATTCTCATCAAATACGGGTTTGGATGATCTGGTCTTATGCCACCTATTGTTCCCATTAGCAACACCGTCACAAATGTCACCGGTGACCATAATCCAACAGCTTAGCTGGTAAGTGTGTCCGCCACAACCCCCTCCACTACCCCCACCAAATTTTGTGTATGACCATTTTTCCATTTTTCACTCAATTTAAGGAGGTTACCCATCCACACCGGACCCTGTCACACCTTTTTTCTTCCCAAACGTGATGATGTTCTTTGATTAAGTAACCAAAATGGAAACATTGGAGAGAGCATTGCACGGAGAAAGGGATAAGTGAGAGATAGAGAGAGATAGAAATTTGACATTTATTACGTTAAGACACCTGCATTGAATGAGATAGTTTCTATAAATAGTTTTTTGTTGCTAGCGTAGTATCATGAAAACAACACGTAGTTTCAAGCATTGGGGCTAGCCTTAGACAAGGGAGGGTGACAAGATTACATTTAACACTACAAATGTAACAAACACATATATAAGTAAAGAATTTATGGGAACAACACATAAACTCACAAAGGTCTTACAAAGATGTTAAATTGAACAGTTAATTCCCATATTCACTTAAAGTGGTTTCCGGCCAACAAAAATACTTACATAGTGATAATACCTTAGACAATAACATCAGTGTAGTCCATAGCTCATGCAGACCAAGCTTTAACAATGCATCTGACCTGAGAAACCATGTGAATGTTGCTAGATTCTAGGTATGACTGTTTCCACCATTTTTCCACTGGATACGACCACAACACATGTACATACGCCTGCCCGACGCAACAAGCTCCACAATCCCCCCTAATTTTGGGTACGACCAATTTTTTTTTTTTTCACTACATAAAGGGGTTGCGACCCCCACACCACCCAAACCATGTGAATGTGGTCACTGTATTTAACATGTGAATATGGTCACTGGATTTACCTAGTCCTCTTGAATGGGAGCATACTACTCGGTGTTGCATGGGTTGTCGTGCAGCCGACAAGGCTAGGGCAGATCTGTCATTGGGGTCTTAGGATTGATTTTTACAGCAGATGCATCAGACTCAACTACAGCATCTGTTTTAAGACTTGCAATTTTTCTTCGATGGTGATTGGTAGAATACTTTACAGACTACAAATTCCCCATTGGTTTCATATTTTTTACACCAAGATGGTACTGATGCATCCCCCAATTCTCTCTTTCTGGCTTGCCACCAACTTTCTTGGGAGCTTTATAAAGAACTAAGATCTTCTTCCATCCTTTTCTCACACCATTCTTGTCAAATACGGGTTTGGGTGATCTGGTCTTATGCAACCTGTTGTTCCCATTAGCAACACCATCACAAATGTCACCGCTGAATGTAGTCCAACGGCTTAGCTGGTAAGTGTGTCTGCTGCAACCCCCTCCACTACCCCCCACCAAAATTTGTGTATGACTATTTTTTCCTTTTTCACTCAATTTAAGGAGGTTTCCCCATCCACACCCGACCCCCGTCGCACCTTTTTTCTTCCCAAGCATGATGATGTTCTTTTATTAAGTAACCAAATTGGAAACATTGGATAAGTAACTTTTATAGGAAAACATATAATGAAACCAACACCACGCATGGGAATCGCCGCCACGTCGATCGATCAACCCGAGAAACCAAGAGGGCCTGCAGCTCCAAATCCACAGACCACCCCCAACCCCAACCCGCGTGTACACGAGCGACCCCGAAGGAACCGATGGCCTGACCGACCGCAAAGCTAGTAATAAGCAAGAAAAAAAAAATCACCCAAAAACTCTGACCTACGTATCCATGGCTGGGAGCACCCCCATGGGGCAGTGGAGTAGTAGCCGGCTGCTGCTACTGCGTGTGGAGTGCCACACACCCCCAAAAGGAGTAGGAGATGGGGAGAAAGGAACTTGTGAAGCCACAAGGCTTGGGAGCGTCGGGTGGCCGCGGGCCGTGGCTATTATAGTGGCAGGTCACAAGAAACGGGCTACGCGGAGTGGGGACTAGTGAGAGGGAGGTGCATTAATAGTTTCGTAGTAAGGATTTTAGGGCACTCCTAATGCAAATTTATGGTAGTTTCTATCTCTATTAAATGACTTAATAGGTAAGCAAAATGCTGACATGACAGTCTAGTTACTGATGAAAGAGAAGAAAAATAGAGAAAAAAATTCTTAGGAGGAAAACCACATCTACTTAAACCGAGGTAGGAAGAAACTACGATTTCAGCGTTGGGAGGAAACCACTGGTTTCTATCTAGGCAGGGTCCATGATGGGCTTGATGTGGATGCCACCGCATCGCCACCGCCGCAAGAATCGCCCTCACCTTCTGTGTGCGCTCTCCTGTGCTCGCGTGTCAGCCTCATTCGTGTGCCGGTCGTGCCAATTTGCTGGCCATGGTCATCCACGCCGCCGCACTCGCCCACGTGCGCTCGCCCGCGTCGCCGTGCTTGTTGTTGTCCACGTGCGCTCGTGCGCCGGTTGCACTCACCTGTGCCTGTCCACGACCCTTGTGGGTCTTGTGGTAGAGAGAACAAGAGGAGAGAGAGCATCGGAGGGAGAAAGGGATAAGTGAGAGAGAGACAGAAATTTGACATTTATTACGGAAGACACATGCATTGAATGAGATAGTTTCTATAAATAGTTTTTTTGCTAGCGTAGTATCATGAAAACTGCACGTAGTTTCAAGCATTGGGGCTACCATTAGATAAGGGAGGGTGGCATGATTACATTTAACACTGCAAATGTAACAAACACATATATAAGTAAAGAATTTATGGGAAAACACAAACTCACAAAGGTCTTACAAAGATGTTAAGTTGAACAGTTAATTCCGGAATTCACTTAAAGTGGCTTCCAGGCCAACAAAAATCGTGATAATACCTTATACAATAACGTCGGTGTAGTCCATAGCTCATGTAGACCAAGCTTTAACAATGCATCTGCCTAAGAAACCATGTGAATGTTGCTGGATTCTAGGTACGACTGATTCACCCATTTTTCCACTGGATACGACCACAACACATGTACATACGCCTGCCCACTGCAACAAGCTCCACTATCCCCCCCCTAATTTTGGGTACGGCTAATTTTTCTTTTTCACTAGATAAAGAGGTTGCCACCCCCCCCCCACACACACCACCACCACCACCACCTAAACCATGTGAATGTGGTCACTGGATTTACCATATGAATACGGTCATTGGATTTACCTGGTCCTCCTGAATGTGAGTATACTGCTCGGTGTTGCATGGGTTGTTGTGCAGCTGACGGGGCTGGGATCTATCATTGGGGACCTAGGATTGATTTTTGCAGCAGATGCATCAGACTCAACTACAGCATCTGTTTTAGACTTGCCATTTTTCTTTGATGGTGATTGGTAGAATACTTTACAGACTACAAATTCCCCATTGGTTTCATCTTCTATTACACCAAGATGGCATTGATGCATCGCCCAATTCTCTCTTTCTAGCTTGCCACTAACTTTCTTGGGAGCTTTATAACAAAGAACTAAGATCTTCTAACAGCCTTTTCTCACACCATTCTTGTCAAATACGGGTTTGGATGAGCCAGTCTTATCCCACCTATTGTTCCCATTAGCAACACCATCACAAATCCACCGGTGGCAATAATGCAATGGCTTAGCTGATAAGGTTATGTATCTAATAGAAACACCAACAAGACTTCTAAATACAACTCCAAATAATCTTTGGGGGTTAGGGCAAAGAACAATAGCCCTATTAGAGCCCTCATTATATCAAGGCCCTAAAAAGGACCCTAGAGCCCTTGAGGAGATCCACCAAGCCCCTACTTGGTGGCTGCTCACATTGAGGACATTTTTGCACCCATCCCCTTGCGTATTTGCCTCAGACACCACCATTCATAATCCATTGGTCCCCACCATCCTCTAACCAATGGGGTCTCCTATGTCAGGGCATTGCAATAGGAAAGTGGGTACAACCCAAACCATGTGAATGTGGGATTTAAGAGGTGACTTTTTCCTTTTTGACCAAAAATGGTCCCCACCACCTCAGTCACGCCTCCTACACACACAACTTCGTTCACAAATGTCTCGATGTCCTTGGTTAAGAAAACAAAATAGAAATGTCTTGGTCAAGTAATTTTTTCAAAAAATATTCAAATAAATGTTACATGAAAGTTACTAAAATAATGTTTAAAATGCCATGCCTTATCGTGCCTCCACATAGTGAGAAGAAAGGGAGTTGCTACCCATCACCCGTTGGAGACAAGGGATGGTCCATCTCCCATGGAAGAGTGAAAGGAGAGAGGGATAGAAGAAATAAGAAAATAAAAATTGAAATACAAAGCGGGTTGGTCACAACTGTCACATGAAAATGGATGTGATGGTAAGGGGGCTATTAGTGGATTTGGTGTCATTTTGTGGCCCCAAAAATTTTAACTAGGGATTGATTGGAAGTGAGCTCCTTGATTGAATGTGTGTTGTTTCCAAGAAAGTGAAATGGTCCAGAATTCCCGAAAGGAATTCTAATTCTTTCCACGTTGATTGGGTGAAAAGCCGTAATTTGGTTTTGGTAATTGAGTGACAACCTTAGGTGCACTAATATGTGTTTATGTGAGATACACATGTGTTTAGTCCACACGTACACTAGAGTGAGCAATACATAAAGACATAGTGGAGAGGTAGCTTGGACATGTTGCAAGTGCTCAACTAGTGAGACGAAGGAGCACATTGCATATGAGACATGACATAATGTTATGTGGCTAGGTGGAGAAGATCAAGAGGCATGGCTTGGCTATGAAGGACCGTGTTGCTAGTGTGAAGGGCAAGTTATAGGCTCGGGTGTGATGGACCATCGAGGCGATGAAGCCGGAGCAATGGACTTGGCGTCGATGGACCGGGTGCAATGGTGAAAAGCAAGCATAGCTATGATCGATGAACTAATAAGGCCACGTGATGAAGTGGATCATATCATCTACGAGGTATCAAGTCATGGAAGACTTGTGTTGTTTACAAGTGGCTTGATGGAGGTTGGATGCTTGGGTGGCATCACGAAAGGAAGAGATAAAATGGAATGTGCAAAGCAAAGGTATATTTGTAGGGCATTTCATTACACCAGTTTAAGGTTGACTAGACAAGTGCATGACTAGGTTTAGGATATATGGTCGTACTATTAAGAGGGCAAACTTGTT